AAAAAGATCATCAAATTTTATTTTATAGCGAATATATATATATATATATATATATATATCATATGATATTGTGGATGTAAGGGGATCTCGCTAAATGATGTAAACTCTATTGTGTTTTTTAGTGTTCTTCTTATGGGATGTCCTTATTTTGGTGTACATTGAAAGATACTGTTATCCTATCGTTCATCAAATACCTGGATCTTGATGTTATAGGATAGAACATCTTTCTGCTCTATCTTCAGCGTGTCTTTATCATCACCACCCTACGCCCCAAACACTACGCCCCAAAACAAACTACTTGCGATTTTGCTTGATGGTTTCACGCATAGCAAAAGACTATACGTGGACACTTATGCGTCGGACATAAGCGTCGAAAAACCGAACCAAGAAGCAAAGAAGCAGAAAGAAAAAAGAACAAAAATGGGGTGAGAGAGAGGCGACACTGATCCATCCAAAACACCGAAAAGGAGAATGGATCAGTTTTTAAAACTCCTATTGAAAAGACCTGTAAAAGTAGGGCCTGAGGTCTTTTCTAACGAACATAAAAGGCTACTTTGTGCTGATTTTTTCAAACCCCAAAGATATCATTTAGTTTCAATCAAGTACTCCCGTAATAAAATTTGGAAATCTCTCAAAGAAGCTCACGGCCAAGCTCAATACAAAGGGACGAACAGTAGCTAAGACTCTCGACCAAAGCAACAAAAGGACAGCTGCTAAAGCCCACGACCAAAGACTACCCTAGACACAACAAGGCTCACAGCTGAAGCAACCCAAGACATAAGGGGCTCACAACTGAGGCAACCAAAAGAACCACCAGTGGCTACTATATTCCTTCGGCATGCATAAAAGGATAAATAAGATGATTGTAATTTTTGGGATGACAAAATTGATTCATCAATAACGTTCAAGCCATTCAAGCCCAACGAGAAGGACCAAATCACACCAAACAAACTCCAATAGGTCTCACAAGTAAGGACTGTAAGAAGAGCAAATCCCGATGGTGAGCTCACGGGCAGGACCAAAGGGGGAGGCTAACTCAACCATATCACAAACCCACGGCTAGGGACCAAGCAAACATCAAACTGCAGCTTTATAAACTTCCAAACCGTAGGGGTTAAGGCCAACAAAAATCAGAACCCAAACCAACTCTCGGATAGGGGCAGGACAAGGCAAAACCGAGCCACAGTCAGAGCCAAACCGAGCCACAGCTATGGCTCAAACCCAGGCCACAACAAGGACTAGAAAACATCTCTATGCCTTCAAGACATCAAAATATAGGACGACCATATGTCTCAAACAAGAACAACTATGGAAATCCAATGCTAAAGCAAGCAAATCGAGCCCCCAAACAGAGCCAAAAGCAAACCCTTCAAAGCTCATACGTGAAGTTTAAACAGTTAGTAGGACGTTCTAACCAAAACCAAAAGCCCATCCTCAACAAAAATTAACAGCCCATGCCCATGCAATGAAAACCGAATGCCCACGAAGACCCAAAACCGAGTCGTTCAAAGCTAAGACAAAGCCTGAGCATAGATTAAAATCCAACCTTTAACAGAAATTAAAATTCCAATCATTTCAAGATAAAACCAAACCATTCAAAGCCAAGGAACAGCTCACGAGCTTTTGAAATATCAAGATACAGAGCCAATATATGCCTTAAGCAAGAACAATAACATATATTTAGGCCCCCCCCTCCCCCCCAACTTGAGTATTCCAGACATGAAACAATTTCTAACAGGTATTTAAACAAAAGGATGCCTCACGAGGAGCTAGAACAAGCCACCAAAATAATTTATAGGACCCTCCAAATTAAAAAAATTCCTTTTTTTTATAGCATATGTTTCGAGCAAGGCGAGTAAGGGAAAGCCATAGGAAGCCAAAACCGAGCCCCCAAACATGCATGAAAGGCCAAATAAACTCTCCAATATCTCACGCTAGATAAGAATCAATGAAAAGCTTCATGATACATATCCTGACATGCTTGCAAGAGGAGCTACCATTGTCTCAAGGCCATGTTTCAACCTTCTTATTCATAGTAATATAAATATGTCATAGTTTCATCTCAAGCAAGTAGAGAAAAGAGAGGTCCACCATTCTAAGCAAGTAATCACGTCCAATTCCTAAAACATGCTCACATTTCCATTTCTAGATGCTTGAGTACCAAGTATTTCCAAAAATATAAGTGTAATATCATGCAAGCGTGCTATACCATCCACCGCACCAAGGAGGGCTCGACAGAGAGAGAACCGAAGAAAGACAAGGCACAGAGGGGGAGAAAGTACCTCCCTGAAGCAAAGAACAGCCACACAACCACACAAAAATTTTCAAAGCGCTCCTCCACTTCACTTCATCTCCCAACAACAAGAGGAAACCGATTCAAGCATCAGAAGATCAAAGAAAAAAAAAAGCAGAATTTTCTCCCTTAGAAAGATTTTCGGCCTCTTTTTTGGGTCTCCCCAAATGGGGTAAATATATCTATCAGGGAGAAGAGGAGCTCGCTTAAACTCACCCACCGCAGACCAGAGGCGAGAGAAGCGGGGAAAAGGGCGACAATCGTCGCAGAGAAGAGCAGGGATAAGAGATCGTGCATGGGGGGCTGTAGCTCGAGGGTCGCGACATCATGAGAAAAGAGATAAGGATTTACCGCAGGGGATGACTCTCACAGACGCGTGAGCAAGAGGCGTCAACCGGCTCACGAACAAGACGGAGGAAGGCGGGGCGAGCTAAGGCTCGGGCGAGAGATAAACCCTGAGGGTTTTATGGGAGAAGGAGAGAGATGGAGCTAGGTTAAAAATTTTAATATAGGTTATTAATTATAATAATAATAATAATAATAATAATATATTATTTATTATTATAATTAACACTTAAATAGTTTTCCCCAAGACGCGCCGTCGCAACGAAACGAATGTCCCCTGGGCAAAATCGATGTTCCGAACGCATCAGCACAGTCTGTTTCGTCATCCGGAGCCATCCGGGCAACTTCGTCGTCGATCGGGTTAAAAACGCGTCGCGGTCCGCCTCCTATGAGAATCTCCTATGAGAATTTCGGCTTGAATTCGATCAAACGGGACGGCGAAGAGCGTAGCAGCGCCGAATCGATGAGTAAAGTCAATCCTAAGACTTGCAGTCCTATAGGAGTGCTCCCTGAGTTCCTTCGGAGTAGACTTACCTGCTAGGCAATAGCGGTCAAAACGACTACATGGAACGTCAAGTCGAGCGAAGAAAAGCTCAGAATTGCTATTGGGAAGGGCTCCTTCACTAGTTTTCTAGGAGTAGTCGACAGAAAAGTTCTACGGCTAGATATTAGGCTACTAAGGAGGGGAAAACTACACATTGACCGAAAGCGAGGTCAACAAGAACTTCAACTTGCTCTAAGAATAAAGATTCATTCTGCTGCAAAACTATGCTACTTCCATCACTTGTCAGACTCCAATGCACATCTGCTGCTTTGTGGTAGAGTTTTCATTACCATGTCAATTAACTTTATATTTACAACACCTTTTTGTGGCATCTAACATCTAAAGAGCACAAGAATTACAAAAGCAAATAAAAAAATTGATGGCAGGAAATAACGATAGAAGAAATTGCAACCAGCAAAATCAACGCTTTTATCAACAATTTGATCGGCGTTGCATGTAAATGCCCTTTTTTTCTAGGCAATGAGGGTGAAAAAAAAACAAAGTTTTTCAGTAAATTTTAATTAATACCAAAACAATTTAATTCAAAACTTAAAATTTAAAAAGATAAATATTCTCCCCTTTTCTTCTATTTAATAACAACATTTTAGTTATTCTTTATATTTTATAATTATTTATAAATATATTTAAACATTAATAATTTTATATAATATTAACATTTTAATTCATAAAGGCACTGCTTCGCTGCACTCTGTGCTTTCAATCAAAAATAAAACCTTGAGCATCAATTATTTAACATCTACCACTTTCTAGGGGCATTTGTATGCATAGCACACAATTCTTATGTATTGAATATCACTCACGTAAACTTCACATCCACACAATATCAAATAAAAGATAGGACTATTACCTTCTTTTTTTAAAGTGAAATACAGATTTTCATGCATAGATTTACCACCAAAGTGTTGTAAATATGAAAGTTTATGTGTGAGATTTGTAAAAATAAAAGAATTGTGTGCTAAATATGTAACTTTACCAATTTTTTACCTCACCTCCAGATGCCATAAAATTCCTTGCGTGCAAAAAAGAAATCCATAAAAGAAGCAGCTTTTTGACCGATTTCGAAAAAGCTTCAAAAATAAAAAATGTAGAACAGGAGCTCCAACAAATCCTTGAGTTAAAGGGGAATAACACCTAGGCGTCCCAAATGTCAGTCGTACTTAATAATCTCCATCGCTCCTCCAAATGAAACTTCACCGGATTAGTAGATAAAAAGCAATACTGCAACAATCCTAAAGGAATATGCAATAAGCCTTCATGGATCTATCATGAAATCCATGATAACAGAGTAAGTATGTACTTTCATTATAGACTAATTGAGAGCTCAACATTACATACATAGCACTCAAAACATTGCTCCTCCAAAAGAAATTTTACTGGATTAGTAGGTAAAATAATAGTGCAACAATCCTCAAGGAATATCCAATGAGCCTTCATGCTTGATATATGATAAAATCCATGACAACAGAATAAGTATGTACTTTCATTATAGACTAATGAGAGCACAACATTACCTACATATCACACAAAACATTGCCATTTGCAAAACTAGCACTCAGATGATTTCTGGGAGTGGCATCCCCTGTAAATAAGAGAGGAATCTGAACCTCTATCGGACGACATTTTAAGGTTATTTAAGAGTCTTAATGATGTTGGAATTCATTGATCTTGGGCTCATTGGATTTGTCCCATCGAAACACTCGATTCAACTAAAAGCTAGTCAGATTTAGAATCTATTTGACCTTCCAATTGACCACAAAAAACTTCTAAAAGTGGTTTAATGGCTTGATTTGTGCTAGATTTCACTCAAATTGGATCAATTTTGATGTCATTGGATTCATCTCGTAGTGCTGGCAGTTTCCTATAAGTATGCTGAAACGGAAGCTACGGGCGATTTTTAATTTGACTCGGATCACCTTAGTTCATGAATGCCTTGAGGTACATCCACCGCCTGAAGTTTCAAACTAAATGACGAAAATATGTTGATGACATATGAATCTTGAAATATAAAGCCAAATAATTGATCAAAATAAAGCACAATTTAACATTAATAGATTTCATTCTTTAATAAACTTAACGTTTAATGAATCAAGATTTACTGAGTACTACCAAAACATACTTTTAATCATTTTTGGAGCCAAACAGCCACATTGCTGCTTCACTGAAAAGAACCCCACGGCCCAACGCTTGCTGCATTCCTGGAAAATATAGAGAGAGAGAAACCATCTATAATTAAACTCTTCTTCATAACCTAAAAAAACAAAATTTAAATAAGCTAAATTTAACATTATTAAGCTAACACAACATTTAACTTAGTAATGTCAACATACGCATCTCAAACAAGAAAAAACTTTTTTATTGTGTTAGGTTATGAAGAAGAGTAAATTCTTGATGGAAGCATACAATCACGAGTATATTTAAAAAAATCCTCACTTAAAAAAAAAAAACCACAAAAAATCTAATGCCTTAGCTCAGTATAATTTTCCAACACACACTGATAGAAATGCACGAGAACAATATTTTTTTACGTGGAAAAGATTGCAATGAGCATCATCACCACCACCTCTGTGTGGAAGTTGATGCAGAAATTCCTTGAAATGTCGAATGAAAATATGGACGGAAAAACCATCAACATCATTACAAGCATTGAGAGGAGACCCTTAAATTTTTACAAAACTAACAATTTTTTAGGAAGATTTACATACATCACTTAATTGCCATGTATGGAGGTATTTAAAATCCAAACTTCAATTTTTACATACATACCACCTTATCTATGAATGAAAAGATGTATATCACGTTTAAAAATTAAAATGATGGTAATTTTGATGTGATATAAAAAATTTGTGGGGATAAAAGTTTAAGAAAATTTCAGTGTTAGGTAAATACATAAAAATTGGGTGGTATACTTTTGCCTGTTGCATATGGTCCTAGTTTTAATTACTATAAATGACCAGGGTTTTTTAATCAAGTTCAGGCTATTACAAATGGTATCGAGCATAACAACAAACTAAAGATGAAAACTATAATAACGCTCAAGTACAACAAAGCTAATCCAAAGGATTGATATGGCTTTTGGAGTGAGAATTGGAATTTCATTTAAAACTTCAAAGTTAAGCGTGGTGCTAGAACAATCCTATACATAAAATAGGATCCGGTAAACTGCGTGGTGCAATTAGCATGGTGCTAGAATAATCCTATACATGAAATAACATTTCACCTTTAAAAAGTGAGTTACAGTGATGTTTTTTAAGCGATAAAAAATTTTAGTGATATGTATGTAAATATAAAAGTTTAGGCTTTAGATATATAAATACATAAGAATTGTGTGGTATGCATATAAATGCCAACTTGTTTGAAAAAACTCAGAGCTGCTATTGTGAAATACTGGTAACTAAAGCATAAATGAAAAACTAAACAACTAGCTCTCACTCCAGCAAGTGGCCAAGCCCTAAGAGCCTATTGATTGTGCCGGTTGCCTTTAAAGGCCAGCCGTGATGGCACTTCTCAATGCATAAGAAGTTAACTTTACCCATTAAATTAAAACATATGCATACTTCACTGTATGATTCCATTCACAAACACGATGAAAACCTGAAAAAAAAAACATGATTAGCATAAGGTTTTCATTATTCAATTAATTGGTTATTCATTCAAACGAAACAAATAAATAAGTTAGATATTCACACCTTTTCTCCTCAACCAAACAAATGGCTGAAAACTAATTTAAATACAGCTTCCACGCTGTTACATTTCTATCTCATTTCTCCTTCAAACAACACTAGGTCATTGGGAAAGGTCGGGGAAGAAACATGACCTCCATGAGGATGTAAACCAAAATTTCAATTCCATTATCCGACATTTGAGAACCACAAAACCCCAGCACAAAGATAAAAACTCTAATCCTTTAGATTAGCACATTAAAGAAAATTTAACTTAATCCCCACCAATTTTTTTTTGGAAATTTAAAACCCACGGTTCTGATAAATCTCACTTCTGCTCCATTATTGGTTAAATCCAATGCAAATTAACTCCCATCATTCACGGGATAAAAAGAAATGTCTTGCTAAAAAATAATAATCCTAAACAAAATAACCTAAAATTTATTATGGTTTTGCAAGCTTAATTGCAATGTGAAACAAGTTGTTGGCAACAAAATTTGGGCAGAATTTAAGCAGTATTTAAACTAAATCCGGCCAAGCAACAAAAACAATACTCCCATCATTCATGGGATATAAATACTCCATTGCTCAAAAATAATAAATCCTAAAGAAATCGCTTTTATATAAAGATGCAGTTCAAATCCTCTTAAATTATCAGTTTCAAGAAAGAGAGCAAATCATTGTTGAAATTCATCAGAAAATAAAAGCATTGGTTTCCTGATGATAATCAGGCCATCCAAAATGCCTCTGGCAGCTGCTGCCAGATGCACCTGCCCCAACTGCAGTCACCACAAGCAGCCCAATGTTTCCTCAACTCACCGGTCACCACCTCCACCGCAAAGACGGCCATCAGCAGTCATAGGCCACCTCAATCGTTAACAGGCGTAATTTACAATTAATTTAATTTTTTTTTCAAACGAAAAAAGATAAATGTTAACGAAACAATTTCATCCTGCAACAAATGATGACAAAGTAGAACAAAAGGTTACCTAGAAACTCCCTACAAAAAGTTCATTTTGAACGCTACACTTACTACAATGCCGATGCACAACATGAATATATGTATATCTACATATTTATATTGATAAAAAAATTTAGTGGTATGTATGTAAATATAAAAGTTTAGGTTTTAGATATATAAATACATAAGAATTGTGTGGTATGCATCTAAATGCCAACTTGTTTGCAAAACCTTAGATCTGCTATCATGAAATACTGGTAACTAAAGCATAAATGATAAACTAAATAACTCGCTCTCACTCCAGCACGTGGCCAAGCCCTACGAGGCTATTGATTGTGCCGGTTGCCTTTAAAGGCCATCCGTGATGCCTCCTAGGGCTGTAAACTATAGCAAAAAATGTAAGCAGCAAAATGGCACTTCTCAATGCATAAGAAGTTGTTTTACTGAGAAAATTAAAACATATGCACACTTCACTGTATGATTCCATTCACAAACTCAATGACAACCTGAAAAACAAAAACCTGATTAACATAAAGTTTTCATTATTCAATTGATTGGTTATTCCTTCAAACGAAACAAATAAATTAGATATTCACACCTTTTCTCCTCAACCAAACAAATGGCTGAAAACTAATTTCAATAGGCCATTGGGAAAGGTGGGGGAATAAACATGACCTCCATGAGGATGTAAACCAAAATTTCAATTCCAGCATTATCCAACATTTGAGAACCACAAAACCCCAGCACATAGATAAAAACTCTAATCCTTTTAGAGTAGCACATTAAAGAAAATTTAGCTTAATCCCCAACAATTTGCTTTTTTGGAAATTTAAAACCCACGGTTTTGATAAATCTCACTTCTGCTCCATTATTGGTTAAATCCAATGCATATTAACTCCCATCATTTACGGGATAAAAAGAAATCTCTTGCTCAAAAAATATTAATCCTAAACAAAATAACCTAAAATTTCTTATGGTTTAGCAAGCTTAATTGCAATGTCAAACAAGTTGGTAACAAAATTGGGCAGAATTTAAGCAGTATTTAAACTAAATCCTGCCAAGCAACAAAAACAATACTCCCATCATTCATGGGATATAAATATTCCATTGCTCAAAAATAATAAATCCTAATGAAATCTCTTTAATATAAAGATGCAGTTCAAATCCTCTTAAATTATCAGTTTCAAGAAAGAGAGCAAATCATTATTGAAATTCATCAGAAAAATAAAAGCATTGTTTTCCTGAAAATAAACAGGCCATCCTAAATGCCTCTGGCAGCTGCTGCCAGACGCACCTGCCCCCAACAACAGTCACCGCATGCAGCCCAATGTTTCCTCAACCCACCGGCCACCACCTCCCCCGCTAACCCCGGCCACCAGCAGCCACAGACCAACTCAATCGTTAACAGGTGTAATTTACAATTAATTTAATTTTTTTGCAAACAAAAAAAGATAAATGTTAACGAAACAATTTCATCCTGCAACAAATGATGACAAAGAAGAACAAAATGTTAACAAGAAACTCCCAACAAAGGGTTCATTTTGAATGCTACACTTACTACAATGCCGATGCACAACATGAATATATGTATATCTACATGCATATATGGATAAAAAAAGATAGAGAGAGAGAGAGAGAGAGAGAGAAATCTTCAGTACTGGCAATTGCAGAGTGCTTTAACAATGAAATACATCAAAATGACAATTAAAATGCATCAAAATGGCAATTGTAGAGAAAGAGAAGCTTTATTTATGCCTCCCCAACGCGTGCCCAAGTTCAGAGAAAATGATAATATCAGTTGCTTGAAGATGGATATCAGACCATCCGTCATAATTTACCTTTTTTGGATCCAGAACAACTGAATCACCATAAGATCTGCAGACATTGAACAGTAAAGCTTCGCAACTACACTCTCTCAAGTAAATACGCCCCCAATCATCAATATTTCAGAACACCTACAACATTTAAATATGATGGATAGATAGATTGAAAGATGGAGACAGATAGAGAGAGAGAGAGAGTGGGCCTTCATATCTTCAGTGCTGGAAATTGAACTTCCACAATGAAATACATTAAAAAACAACTGAAATCAATCATAGAGAAAGAAAAGCTTTATTTCTTTCAGCTCAACTAGTGCCCCAAGTTCGGAGAAAATGGGAGCATCAGTTGCATGAAGATGGATTTCAGACCATCCTTGATAATTTATCTTTCTCGGATTTAGAAAAACTGAATCACCAAAGATCTGCAGAAATTTAACAATAAGGCTCTGCAACTACACTTTCTCAAGTAGAAATGTGCCAATCATTAATATTTCTATTGGATTACATCAGAAATCGGCTTTAAGCTCGTATCTTTTAGCCTTAGTTATAAATGCTTTTACTAGACATTTACAGAAGGATTTACCTTGGTGTATGCTTTTTCGTTTGAGTAGAACTAAAATTGAATACGTGGAATATAATTTTAGTAGTAGTAGCTCTGGTGACAGAAGTGTAACTATGGGTGATCAAATTATTAATGAATACATGAAATATAATTTTAGTAGTAGCTCTAGTGACAGAAGTGTAGCTATGGGTGA